GTGCTGTTCTATTCGGTGGTGTGAGAAAAACAGCAAAACATCTAATTACAAAATAAACGGAATCAGGTTTTATCGGTAAATAAATATGAAATTTGTAATTTTGCAATTTCAAAAAATATAGCAAATTATATTATAGCAAAGCTCAAGTTAACTGGTCGATTTGAAGTGAAACACCCGTCAATTGTTTCGAATTCGGGCTAGCCAATCGGAGCGCAGTTGTCACGGTAATTATATATTTCGTCTCTGTTTCTGGTTATATACTCAATGGACAGTTCTTATCGTAAGCGGCATAGAGTTGGATTTAAATCTTAAGTGTCAATTTAAGTTAAGCTTGACGTGCTCTTGACCCTGTACGTAAATTATTAAATTTTGTCAGTACGTTTTTGATACTTCTCTATGGAAAAGCGGTAGGCGGCAACTACACCGAAAGCACTTGGTAATCGCACTGTAAAGCTTGTAGTTGGTTTTTAACCTTTCAATTCAACTGTATGTTTTTTTGTACGTATGTTACGCGTAACTGAACAGATTTTGATGATTTTTTTTTTGTTGGAAAGGGGGTACCTCAGTATTGATACCATTTAAATTTGTAGAAAATGTTTTATCTCTAAGGGTGGCAAACTTGTAATTTGAGATTCATATAGCGAGTTTTTTTATGATACAAAGCGACAAGACGACCAAGTACGTCTGGTTAAGCGACACGCGTGTCCATGTCCTTAACAGTTGCATTGCCAATCGGAGCTTTGTTATATTATATTATATTGTCACATTACTGCTTGGCGGCAGAAATAGGTAAGGTGGCAGTACTTCCTTGGACCAACTCTTTCACAAGCAGCTTTACTGCTACTAGAAGAACTACTTTGAAGGTATCGTTAACATGGCCTTTCGGATTACACAATACCGCGTAGATTATCCTATTAATATTACTTGAAGCGTCTCTAGCGCCATCAGCCACACACAAAATTTTTGTATCATTAACACTAATTACGAAACCAATAGCGAGAGATATTGCTTCTAAATATTCACAAATGTATATTTAAGTTACAAATTAAAGTTATCGGGGGTACTCGTACATCGCCGCCACAGTGATTAGAACTGTAGACTTTTCAATTGAGAATCACTTTTCAATCACTCTCATACTGGGCTATAACCGCTGTAATTTTTAACATCCGGTAAAAATAACAACAGCTGTAGAATACAGTACGATTGGCTGATATACTACATATACTTATGCATATTTATAGACTTAACTGTGGTCTACTTTTTGTAACTACTTAACACTAGATTGCTCTCACGCATGCGTTGTATGTGTTACTCGTGTTTCTTTTTGAAAAAATAAAACAAATTGTTATTCTGCTGCCATTGACTTACAATTATATGGACGTCGGGTCCGCGCTAAAAAGTGTCCGAAGTTATAGGGCGTTAAAATCGTATACAGAGCGTCATTCACGCTTTAGTCTTCGTTTGTTCGACTGACAGCGAAGCAAGCAAAATTAGACAGTACTGCGATGACATTACAATTTAAATTCAACGTTTTAGCTTTTTCATATTCATTTACATGTCACTACGTTTAAATAGGTTGACTTGGGACATTTTTTTCGTGGTTTGTGTATTAGACCCGTCGTCCATTTATTTGTAAGTCAATGTCTGCTGCCGTGCATTAAAAGGGCGTATGTGATTTGTTTTTTCAAAAACCTGGCTTGACCACTGCTGGCCTGACCACGACTGACTTGACCAAGATTGACTGGCCTGAGTATATAGCCTTGCACTACTGGAGGTGGGCAGAATGTTATGACCCTTTTTGACGCCGTCTGCATGGTATTGCTGCCAGCAGGCGGACTGATAGCATGTCTATTGACTGTCTTTTCTTTTGGATTTTGTTATTTTCTTCGTTTTCATTTTGTTATGTACACTGTCGTGATCAGAAATAATCTCAGTACAGAGTCCAAAAAAAACCGACCTCAAAAGTACATGGAATTACGTCTATTTGCTAAATTTTATTGAAAGATCCCCTGAGTTCGCCACTATACAGGACTTGACACTGGAGATAGTAAAAATCGTTTCTCGCTGCTCGAAGTATATTAAGAGAAAAACGCCTTGAATTAGAGAAATAGCAAAATCAACCATTAAAGTAATTGCTCCTAAATTAATGTTAGGCGCTATTTATGAAAATGAATCTTCATGCGTGAACAGCCACCCTTCGAGGTGGATGATTTTCTTCAAAATGAAATGGGACCACTATGGAAGTACCCCCTTTCCAACAAAAAAAGAATCATGAAAATCGGTTCACAAATACCGGAGTTATCGTGTAACATACGTACAAAAAAAAGAACATACAACGAATTGAGAACCTCCTCCTTTTTTGAAGTCGGTTAAAAAAAGGCCGATCTATCACTACTTTTATTTTTTCCTAAGTGGATAAGGTATAAAGTTGCCGCAAGATTATTTTCTCGTTTTGAGTTTTGACACAAGCGCACTTTCAACTAACGGCGGCAGTATTGTTATCAAGTATTACCATTTAAATTTAAATTTAAAAAAACCCGACACCCTCAAGTTGGGTAACTTTGAACTTCCTTGTAACTTTGCATAAAAAATGGTTTGAAGATTTTTTTCTCAAAAACTTGTAGCCAAATACATTGATAGCTTCGTGAAACGGAAAGACAATTATTCTAGATGTCAAATGTGACTTAACAATTGTCAAAAAGTTTTTTGTACCCGTAGGTAGTTGCTAATATGTAAATAGTATCACCAGCCCCCGTAATCGCGACTCGCGCGATATAATTGAAATAAGCGCGCGCTATTGGCTGTCTCAATCAGATCTAATTTAGATAGCCAATAGGGCGCGCTTATTTCAATTTTATCGCGCGTGTCGCGACTATCATGCGTAGCCATGCTACGGGGGTAGGTGAATTTATTCAGTTTGTTCAACTTCAACTTTGGTAGCTATGGCTCCGTCGTTTTGCGCGACGATTTCGTCAACGTCAGGGTTGAAAGACTAATTTATTAAGGACTCAGTGCGGTGGTGAGATAAATTGCCGGTTATTAAAATACTTAAGCGGTTATTATGCAAATTAACGGTTATAATTTTTTTTAAGGCATTAGAAAAATATAATTTGAAGGCTCATGTTGTTTTCTTTCTTTTGGAATTCAGTTTGATAAATTTTACAATTAATTTACTGAAGCGCGAATGGACAATTTTATGGCTGTCATCCGTATTTTCGTTTTCATTTAGTGTTCTTAGGTTTTCGCGACTGTTACACACAGGAAATGAAACTATTTTTCCGGATTTAAATCGGGTTATTTGTTTTTTCAGACCAACCAACGTTTTCAATCAATTCAATCAGGTTTGACAAACTCCAGGTTCTTGTAACAGAAGTCCGTTGCCTACCCAGGACGCTGCGAGAGGCAGCATCACGATTTAAACGAAAAACACGATTTAAATCCGGAAAAATAGTTTCATTTTCTATAATTCTCATTATTTTAAAAACTGACGATTTTCGTAGTATAGTTTAAAATGACATGTAATTGGTATCCGTCAGGATGGCTGGCCCAATAAAATAAAATATACAACTCGAACTGGGCGCATTATTTACGGTAGTAAATAGGTATATTTGCTACATATAATAAAACATTTGCTACCTTTGCGTTAATAACTGCCTCCGTGGCCGAACGGTTACCATGCCGGACTGCCACGCAGAGGTCCCAGGTTCGATTCCCGGGTCGGGAGAAATGTTTGTATGGCCTACATTTATTTCTCTCGTGAGTTTGGGTGTAATTTGTGGTTGTCTATATGTGTGTCCATGGCACCCGCGACACAGGGTTTCCCTAGTGCGGGGCTATGTTGAGTGTGTGCGTTATTTATTTTATTTTTTATTTTAATAAATATATTAAACAAGTTTGTTATAATTAGTAATACAAAGATCGAACACTCAGAAATAAATACTTCGATGCGTGACAGCTGGGAATAAGCTGTGGAGGCGACCAGCGTTGTGCAACGCTAGAGCACCCTTAGGTTATACAAGCCGCACTGTAAAAAGCGTAAAAAACCAATGAAATACGATTAGAAAACGCAAAAATTGCTACAAGCTTAAGCTGAAAGAAAGGCAGATTCGGTACTGTATGAATTGGCAAAAAAAGGAAAGATATAAGAAAAGGTTATCACGTATGCCGCTAGAGGCCGCGAGTTAAGTTCTAAATCACTTTCTGTTTGTTCAAATGGATTTAATATTCAATTATAGTTACGAAGTTAGTCAATTTCATAATTTTTGGTGATATGGAATGTAATGATTCATAAATACTGTAGTTCTATGTTGTAAACAGTAGTAGTAAAATAGTACATGTATTGAAAATTATTTCATAGGCATTTTAATGTTGTGGTTACTTACTCGGTGTTTTCTAGCGCTTTACCACGGATTTGTAATACGTCTACGAAATTATTAACAATTATACGTAGAAGACGATTGCCGTAAAATTTTACACAGGCGCTTAAACATATTTTTTTAAATAGCTTTTTATAGAAGCTTTCTAAAATAGTGAAAATAAAGTGTGTTTATGTTGTAAATAGTAATATCAAAGATATACATGTATTTATGTGGTCTGTGATGTACATGATATCGTCGTTGCAAATTTAATATCTCCTACGTGTTCAAAGTAACTATCATAGAAAAACGAATAAAGCTTTCTGGAGGTAAAATAATCCCTCTGACATTTCGGACCGTCGTCGTGCGTAAACGCAGTAAGGGTGCTGGTGAAATTACAGGCACATGGGACTTGTCAACTTATGTTTCAGAGTGACGGTGGGACAGAGGCAGTGCCCCTAAGATCTTTGCGATTAAAAGCTCTGAGTGGCACTGCACCTGTTATGGATAGGCGTGTCGCTTACCACCAGACGCACGTCTTGTTCGTCCCGTCGCTTGGTTTTATAAAAGAGTTAGATCTACCCTGTTTTGCTATACCTACAAAACATAATATATTTGCGTAACTTTCGTGTTATTTGTCTTCAGCTATGCGGGCTTGCCAAGCAACTGGACATGACAGAGCGGCAAGTGGAGCGATGGTGGCGCCTGCGCCGGTCGCAGGACAAACCTTCGACCCTGGTGAAGTTCTGCGAGAACATGTGGCGGTTTACATTCTATCTGTACAATTTCTCGTACGGATTATTCGTTTTGTGGGATAAAGAATGGCTGTGGGATATTGACTATTGCTATCTCGGGTATCCGCACCAGGTGAGGAATTTTTCACAGTTTTTATTTCAAAGACTTCCAACGCGAGCCCCACTTACTCTTTTTAACCTACTTCAAAAAATAGGAGGAGGTTTTCAATTCGACTGTTTTTTTATTTATGTATCTTACGCGATAACGCGATTTGTGAACCGATTTTGGTGATTTTTTTTTTGTTGGAAAGATCAGTAGTGGTCCATTTAAATTTGAAGAACATATTCCACCTCTAAGGGTGGCTACTAGGGGATGAATCCGTTTCGCGCACTTTCCGGTAACAGATTCCAATAAAACTTGGCAATAAAATTTTGAATCTTGACTTTTGCCTCTTTTCTTCCCTGAAGTATAGTTATACTTTATTCTGTAAGAAAATATGTTCTATATTATATTTATTTCATTTTACAAACAGCGCCTTAGCTGCATTTTATTTTAAATTTTTTGTTTAAGGAAATGTAACCTTACCTTATTGAAGACCAAGTTTAAGTTGCGTTGCTTTAATGCAGCCTATTGGGGGCGACCCTTACAATGAAAACGCGTGCTGCGGCAAAGTCTACATACGTAAGGGGCTCTCACACCGCAACCGCTCATTCATTATGAATGTTTTGTAACTAGACGAGATTGATCTTGCCGCGCTCGCTACCGTTCTGCCTTTTCTTTGTACAGGAGCGGATAGACAGAGGAAGTGACTTGCGAAATCATTTGTAGGTTCTGCAAATGTAACGTCACTGGGCCAATATTTTAAAATCCATATAGCCTGGTACCATCTTCTTGGTAGATTATGTATGTTAGCGATGCGCGGTAGCAAATGATTTCGATATTAGAGTCATTAGTAATTACTAATACTATCATTCGAATGATAAATTAGTAACTTACTAATTTTCGTATTCCCATGATCTGAATGATCATTCATAACAAATACATAGATTCCATAGAGAACAGCGATAGTCGTGGTCACCTAGCCCTCTCTGACATATCGCCATGCAAAAAATGGATTGTATATAGAAATTAGCAAATGATTTCGATATTCGAGTCGTTAGTAATTACTAATCCTATGACTCGAATGATAAATTAGTAACTTACTAATTTTCGTATTCGCATGAT